CGTTGAGATTCGTACCCTCACCACCATCCAGACCTTCCGCACAGCCCTCAAGACCTGGCTCTCCCAGCAGGCTGGCAGGTGGGGATAGGTTTCCAATTTACCCGCCCGAGTGCTGACTGTTGAATGCATGTTGTGGTTTACCATTTTATTTTGTTCACTATTGTTTGTCTCTTGGTACTGCACCCCCTCCCCTTGTGATTGTAAGCCGCCCTGAGTCCCCTCAGGGAGAAGGGCGGCCTATAAATCTCAATAAAATGTGAAATGTGAAAAAAATGTGATAGATGGGTGGGGAGAGTTGCAGCAACCCTGCAGTCAATTTGAAAAATAATGCAAGATACTACATCTCTGATTATTGCCTGTATATTTTGGGGGGAAAGAGTAAAACAGAGTTGCCAGAGATTCTTTATGAAGTTCTGAAGTGTACAAAACTTCTCAGAATACAACTGTAAATTTTATTAATCTTTAAAATATAAAGGCTAAGAAAATAGCAAATGACCTGTCCAGTTTTTCATCCCTAAACAGTGTTGAATGTGACAGACTGTTTACTTTTGAAGACATGAAATATGTTGTTAGCACTTAAATGTAGGAGAACAGCTGGCATGAGTCCATTGGAACTGGTAGCTATTTATGCTGGCAGACATTCAACTGTTCAACCAGACACAGCAAGCAGACTAATCCCCTTCAGTGGAATAGACAACTAAATATGAGGTGCTCCCCTGCGGCACAATTTAAGTCCTTTTGAATTTCTGCTATAACTCACTATTGAGACAAGTCACCACGGATAATTTCTTGACTATGAAAGCAATTCTAAATAACTCCTGAGGTTTTCCAGTAACTATCAAATTTGGAAACAACCTGAAACAAAATCAAAAGTTGGACATAGCTCTCCATACATTTTTTTTCAATAATTTCCAAATTGGAAAAAGATGAAACATTTACAAATTGTAATATAAGCAAGCATCATATATTGTTAAGTTATGTGCAGAAATTTCTGGATCTGCTCAGCTATTATTTTCCAAATTAATCAAACCAAAGCATTCAGACATGCTATGGTGCAAGAAATTTGGCTGCAGACACCACCCTTATTTTTAGGTAAGCCTGAAATAAAGTGATGCTACTTTAAAAGCTTCATTAATTTTAGTGCTGAGATTCCTTAAAGCGTGACATCTTTTTTCAAGCTTATGTGACATCTAAAATGGTCAATGGATGGTTCAGTGATACTGTCCTTGTATAAAGTCTGAAAAGCTTCCAAATTACTTTCTAAATAGTTACTCCAAATTACTTTCAAAGTAGTTACATGGCACTTTAGAAATAGACAGAATAATGCAATGTTGTTGTTTTTTAATCAGTTCAGTCCAAACAGAGGTTTTTCAGGACTGTTTTGCCTGTATCAGTTCTTGGATACCTCATCATCTTAAATGCTATTGCATAGTATAGTGCCAGGTAAAGCTACTTCAAGAGAAATCCAATACTGCACATGCAGTCATTTATTGATACACTTTCTATTTTCTTCTTCCTTCTGCAGAATCCTGAAGAAATGTCTCTCCTCAACATTTGTTGGAAACATCCTCAATCTACAAGAGTAGATTGGAAATAGGGGAAGATGGAACTGCACGGAGTAAAATTAATTATATTCTTCCCCACGCATCTGACAAAGCTATTTTGTGATGGAATGGTTGGAATGGACTACACTGGAATATAACCTTCTGCCAGACTGTAAACATGTATTTCTCAGTACACAAGCTGACAAACACATAGCCCTGCCAAAAAAATTCTGTTTTTAACCTAGACATAGAGACTGGGTTAGTTAGCCACAACTACAATCTATTTCCCTGGCCCTCAAACCACACAAATAGAGATTCATAGTCCTCGAGAAACAAGTAGTGGAGAAAGAAGATCCAGTTTGCATTGTTCTTTCCCTTTTAAACCGCTGTTGAAATGATACATCCCAGAGTACTATATTCTTAGTATAACAAGCAGAAATACTTTATGTCAATCCCCTTCCAAAGCATGCTCCATAAACATATGCAGTGCTATCAAGGCACATTTCTTTGAATAAATCCAAATGCCTTAAATCTTAAACATTTTGTGGTGAGGTGTTTTTTTGCCAAATTCTGTCCTAATTTTTAATTATGTCCCTAGACTACCAACATAATTCTACTCTCCAGACTAGAACAAAGACAAAGAGTGCAAGAGCAAGCTGTTTGAATACATTGTACAAAAACTGGTTTACACCACTATTTCAGACCATTTTGTATATTCTACTTTGAACCCATCCCATGTATGTATGTATGTGTCTGTCCTCACCCATGAGAAAGCACAATTTTACAAGACTGCAGCTGCCAAGCTGTAATGATATAAGCCTGCCAACAAATGACTGCTTAATTACAAACCAGATTTCAGCACGCAGAGAACAAACTGTTCCATGCTGACACAAGGACCACTCTCAGTTCGGCACCCTTGTAAAATGTAGCAATTAAAATAACTGTATTCTCCTCCATGCTGCAGATTATTTTGGCTTTTTGTTATATAGTGAACAGAATCCAGTGTCATGTAAGCGGAAACCTCCTTGTGCACAATTTTCTTTTCTTTTCTCCTCATCCCTTCAATTTTCTTCCACATATACACCCTCAAAGTCTGTTCCTGATAGCTGAGGACTAGAAAGCCAAACAATTTAAGTTAAGTTTTATAACTAACTGCTTATACAAAGAGATCTATATACATAATGCATTTGATAATAGCTACACTGGAATGATTCATTATCACAGTTAGACCTATGTATTCTGTTGGATGTTCAGCTTGTAAACTGTACAGAATGATTTGCTGAAATATCACGTGAACCGGCTCTCAATATCAGCATTATTGATTGTTTTCTCTTTCAAGAAGGATGAATTATAATTCTTGGCAGCAGCAGAATTTTCTGAAATCTAAATGGAAGTTGAAACAGTCCCTTTTATGAAATATTACAAGATGCCGATAAAGAGAAAAGCAGTCTCTCAAGAGTAATAGAGGGTATATAAGAAAACAGAGGGCAGCTATTCTATAAAAAATGTATTAAGGCACACTTGATGATGTTGAAGCATGAAGAAAAATCAAATGGTATTTCACTGTTCTCTTTCATTTTAAGCACAGTTCTATGAGTGCTATTCCAATTTTAGTACAATCATAATAATTTGTTACCCACAGATGGCATAATAGTAATCAAGCCATATAAAAATCAGAAATATAACCATTATAAGTGAAATGTAACTACCTGTCACATTACTGAGTATTATACTCACCATATAGGAAGGAAATATCAGCACCCGCTTATGTTTTCCACATGGCCACTGAGGATCATCTAGAAGATTAGGGTTGTATTCAGTGTAGTCTCCCAAGTCACTGCCTATGAGGAATATTAATAAAAAGAAGCAACTGCATGAGATCTAAAGCAACAGCAGTCAAATGGATAATCAAATTATATAATAGTTTGCCTTCATTTTTGTTATCTGAAATATATATTTAATACTAAATGGGATGAGCCATGGTACAAAGCTGATATAGTTTCCAATGACAATTTAGGACTTAAGTAGATTGATGGATGGATAGGTGTAAGAAATGTAAGTAAAAGAAGCATGCAATTTAGATCAGAAAAAGAGACATGCTTCCTAAATGATAAACCATGAATTTTACATCAGCTCTATTACTAGATCAAGGTAGAGGCTAACAAAACTACAATATTTTTTCACATCATGTTTGTAGAAAATGAACTTACTGGAGTCTGAATAATGTCAGTGAAATGCTTGATCTACAAATAGCTATGCTGCACTGAGTGAGCATCTACAATGAGCAAACTTGCTTAGTCACAAAATGCCTTGGCTTTTGGTTATATGCTAAAGCAAGGCATCCAATCAATATCAACAGCTCTTTGAATTTCATACAACAACAGAGGAAAAGCACAATGCAGCAGATTTGTAGAATGTGTCCAATGTTAGCTTTGTCACATCATTTCATAACAGCCAATTCACTCATGTGTGCATATGCTATTAATATGCTACCTGTATCAATGCTCCCTTGGGTGCTATTAGCTCTTCCCAATGAAAGGCTACGATGGCTTGCATTACGAAATTGTGAAAAGGATGAGGTCGAGTCTATCGTGTTTCTCCGTGTTCCCAAGGCATTGGTTGGAAAGAGAAACTGGGTATAAGAAACAGTCTAATCAAGAAGAAAAGGAAAAAAAATATTCAAGTTGAGAGAACACATCATAGAAGATGAACCAGAAGCTATTTATAGAAAAATACTGTTTCACAATTCAACTTGACTACGGTATATTGATAGTTAGCAGTAAATTCCATATTAAATGCAGTGAAGCTTACTCTCTGGAAGATTAATGATTTTGGCATAAACTTACAAATGAACTGAATAATCTAATGTTGTTTAGTAATAACCACCCATTTCCCCAAAGATAGTAATTAAATGTAGTTTATGATTTCAGAGACTATATTTAAAGAATGAGTACTCATACCTTTCCATTAGCTCCTAATTCCACACCTTCAAGGCCAACTATGTCTCTCAAGCAAACACCTGCAGTAGAATGACATTGCCTTCCACCTTCTGTTTTCATATCTCTGTGAAATAAAATCAGTGATGCATATTGTTTTTAGAATTATGTGGAAATGATGAATTTAAAAAAGATCCTGTTTGTTATTTCTATAGTTTTGTACAAAAGAAAAATGTGGAAGATAAATAATGCAATAAAATATCTCTGAATTCATGTAAATTTTCAATTAAGGTCATGAAATCTTGGGAAGAAATACAGAATCTGTTAATCCACTCACAGCATCTGTTATCCCCAGATGGCAACATGGAGTTACCAAAACAAAAAACACCCCATTTGTAGCTCTTTGCTACTATATCTTGGTCATCTTCGTTTTTGCAACCAATTTATAGTAATTTTAGTGGATTAAATAGATTACATTTTATAAATTATAGATTAAGATGTAAAAGAAACAAATAGCAGCACAAATTCAGTAATAAGTCTACATGTTTGCAACATTTTTATTAAATATTTTATTAAATTAAATGTTTTGTTAAATTAAACATTTATTAAATATTTTACTATATACCTGAAAATAGAAAATGATTTATTTTTACAGTAAAAATAAAAAACCTTTAAAAAACCCCCAAAGAAATCCTGTTACATATCAATACCATAACCATGAACTCTTAGAAAAGTTGTTATGAATTTAGGATCTGTATTGTGTCAATGTAGTTCTACTCAAAAATATTCCTATATTGGAATAAATGGTAATATCTATGCATGGACAGGGAAAGGGCAAGGAAACATATGACCAGAAAGCCTCCTCTACTGCTTACCTTCATGCAACACTGTGATGCAAGTATGAAAGGACAGAGCTTGTGCTGTGACATCAAAGCACATGGCCATTGTGCTATATTGCACACTGGCTGATGACTCTTATGTATCTATGGCCAGAGGAACATATATTGACTGGGTTCATCAAGGAAAACCAGGGTGTGAATTATTTTATTTTGCTTAGTGTTCTAGTGTGCAAATTCTATTAACTGCCTAGACTCATTTGCTATGTCATGGGCGGCAAATAAATTCAATATATAAATAAGGTTAAAGATCACAATTTACTGTTTTGTATGATATGTAAAGCCATCTTACTGATAAAGCAAACTTCACCTTAGCATAAATCAAGCCACAGAATGTGATATGATTAAAATAATTTAATTAAAGGGGGGATTGATTAATTAAGGCCTCCTTAAACTTAGTTTTATGTTACAAAACAGCTTCATTAGGTAACCAACAGAGTTCTTATGCCCATGGATAGATGCTTCCCTTAAAAATCACATTTTACATGTTCTACTGTCATCAGATTTCATGTAGTTGAAAGATAGATCTCGATCTAATCCATTTTATCATTAATATGATAACAAATGCTGGCAATTATTGTTAGACAAAAAACCACACACAAGGGAATATGGAAACACTTCTTTTCACTCTCTAATAAAAATGCCCTCTTCTGAGACTATTTCATACCTCATTCATTTCATTTGACTAAAAGGCCACATGTTTTGTCCTTAGTCCCCTAAATTTCTATTAGGAAGCCATAGTATTACTTTCATAGCTCTTAGCTGAATATATAGTTTACTTTATGTAAGACTTCTTCCCCTTTTATTTCATTTATGAGAAACTTAGAAGCAATAATTTATGCTATAAACAAACATTATTTTGCATTCATTGTAAGAATTCTAGATAACATTAACATTAAAGCAACCATATACTTGAAACCATATGATATCTCTTAATGTTACTTATTGCACAAAAACGCTGCCCTGAAAGCTAAAAAAATTAACCAAGTAAATATTTGTAAATACAACAGAAGGAAATCACAAGATAGTAACAACTTATCTAGAAGAAGTTAAGAATTTATTATTCATTATTTATTTATTTGTTCCCCAGATACATAGTATTTTCTGAAAAGTAACTTCTTAAATTTTGTGGAAAATGTACCATTTTATTTCTAACAGAATACCTATTACATGAATTGCTGCATATTAATGTTTCTCTTAAATTTGTATCATTTGAACTCGGAGAAACAACTACATCACATTTATTTCCATTCTGATTAAAATATACCTCATGTTAAAAGTGTGCTCGTTTTGCTTTCATTTTTAAAATTTTAATTGTAAAACAGTGGTACAAACTTATAATTCTAATGCAACTTTTCTTAAATTAGATGGAACATGCTTGCAACCGGAATAATTTATCATAATGTTGTTAAGTATTGTTTAATAAACATTACTGAGTCAAAAGTCAAGGCTTGGCTCATCATTTTAACAGTCTTCCTCTCATTGCCAATATTTTTAGAATTCCTGAAATTTTTTAGTTTGTTTTGTTTACTCCCTATTTCATCAAGCTGCTTCTTCATAATATGAACTCAGATTATCAGCGATTTAATTGCAAACAACACCACAACATCAAACAGGCAGTCAGAATTATTGCTAAGATAATGTTAGGGAAATTCAGCATAAAGGAATGTTTCCTATATGATATTGTATGATGTGGTCTTCTGTCTTGACTAGAAGTAGAGAAGGCTTGAAGAGCAAATTGGAGAAGGAAGAAAAAACGGTGGCTAAAAATGTAATACAAGTGCAAGGAAATAAATTTGTTCAAATATATGTTTTATTTCATCACCTGGATACAGGATTGGAAAATTAGGTGCACTTTTTTTCAGTTCAACCCCTCAATTTATCTCTTTAGTTATACAAAAAAATTCATGTTTATAAATATATTCTTTCTCTTATATACAGTGGTACCTCGGTACTCATTGCTAATTGGTTCCGGTAAGTGCAATGAGTAGTAAAAACAATGAGTGCCAAAAAACCACGGGACTTACCATGTATTTTACCACCTATTTTTTTGGGTCAGGAAGGACTTCTGTCAGTCACCTTCGCAGCATAGCTGGTTTCTTGTCCATTCTCCATGTCCCTCCCCCTTTTCCTCAGTGTGTCAAGTACCAACAAGGAGTATCGGAACATTTTCAGGTCAAAATACAAAATTCAACAAGTTTTTAAGCAGTCAAGTACAAGGTACCACTGTACTAATGAAAGTTAAATTCAACTACATGTCTTCCATGGATTGTGTGATTTCAAAATATTATTTTTAAGGTAAAAATAACCAATAATTTCGATTTTTGATTTTTTTCGATTTTATTGTATTTCTATGCTGCCTTATTCCCCGGAGGGACTCATGGCGGCTCACAAACCGAGTAAGGGGGGGGGGAATACAAACAGGAACAAAAAAGACAATGGACAAACAACGTCACAATTTAAAAACAATCAACAGCCACACCATTCGAGCAGGAACAGTAACTCATCAGCCCCAGGCCTGCCGGAACAGCCAGGTTTTTAGGGCTTTGCGGAAAGCCTGGAGGGTGGTGAGGGTCCGAATCTCCACGGGGAGCTCGTTCCAAAGGGCCGGAGCAGCCACAGAGAAGGCCCTCCTCCGGGTGGTAGCCAATCGGCATTGGCCAGTGGATGGAATTCGGAGGAGACCTAATCTGTGGGATCTAATCGGTCTGTTGGAGGTAATTGGCAGCAGGCGGCCTCTCAGGTATATCTGTTTCCCAATCTGGATTGGTGGAGGAATGGATTGTTCAATTTATCAATGTGGGGGTTGATGAATAGATGAAAAGAGAAGAGCTAGAATGCACCCTTGGGTCGTATCTCTTTTGTCTGGGATTTATTTTGGACAATGTCCTTGCATATTATTCTGCACCTTCATCCAAGAATTTTCCCGA